TGCAGATTGGCTCGAAGAAATATCCATTTCTCCGTCAAGTCCTCTCCCAATAAAGACATAACTTTGCATTAATTAAATAATACAGCCATGAATAAGCGCATGTTGGAAATAAAAGCGCTGAATTTAATTCTCTCGCTGTTGTATATTTGCTCATCATTAGTCTAAAACACCCTAAATTGTATTAACATTTACTATATAGCCATTATTTCGCTAATAAACATCTAAATAGATACAACTCTATGGAAATTTTAAGATGACTAAAAAGAGGAAAAACCAAAGTGAAGTATGTTCTTACTTCACTCAGTCATTTATTTACTTTATAACAGTAAATAGATATCGGTTCTGCATATCGGTTATCGGGCACATAAACATGCAAGTAATTGGTATCGGTTATAAAATATCAATATCGGTCGATCACTATTTATAACTCTCTAAATTCTGAAGCTTTGTTCATATTTCATTCACACTGATTTATAAAACATTTTACTTCTAAAAACATGAAAATGTGTTTGTTTTCTGTCTGTTTATATGAATACCTGTTTCTGCCACAGTATAACATTTTTTTTTAAAGATAATTGCACTTTTTTAATTCTGAGTTTACATCTCAGTTTTTCTTTTTTTGGTTTCCACCATGAAATAAAAAACAAATAAAAAGGTAAGTTTTTTTTTTTGTACTTTTCATCTCACAATTCTGCATTTATATCTTGCAATTCTTAATTTATATCTAATTATTCTGCGTTTATATCGAAGAATTAAGAGAAAAAAAGTCTGGGATATAGAAAAAATTTTCTTTTTATCCCATGGCAAAAACAAGACTCCATAATTTTCTTATTTATGAAGTGATTAAATAAAAATCCCTTCTGGAAATACATTTAATTTAATATGTAAACAAAATCAAACAGGAACTTAAAACCTAACTTTATGTAATCTTCAGATTTCTGTTCTGTAAATGTATGCAAATGAAGCGTTAATATAATTACATATGCACTCATTTGCATACATTTACAGAACAGAAATATGAAGATTACATAAAGTTAGGTTTTAAGTTCCTGTTTGATTTTTGGTTTTGATTTAAACATAACATTTTCGACACCTTGTGACGCAAACTACTGTGTTTTTGTACAGTGATTAATCAGCTGAGAAGCGTATGGTGATGCATATTAGTTAAAATCTTTACCCGACATTCACCTGTAGTGTATTACTTTAAGTAAATGACAAAAAATTATCTAAACATTACAATTTAACACGTTTGAAACCAACACTTACAGCAATGAGCTAATGTTCAGCGTTTATGACGTTTAAAAGGTTATCAGAAATCTGGATGATAAAGCACAACTCATTCATTTGTATTCTAGTCAACAAATGGTACTTTTCATCTCACAATTCTGCATTTATATCTTGCAATTCTTAATTTATATCTAATTATTCTGCGTTTATATCGAAGAATTAAGAGAAAAAAAGTCTGGGATATAGAAAAAATGTTCTTTTTATCCCATGGCAAAAACAAGACTCCATAATATAATTACATATGCACTCATTTGCATACATTTACAGAACAGAAATCTGAAGATTACATAAAGTTAGGTTTTAAGTTCCTGTTTGATTTTTGGTTTTGATTTAAACATAACATTTTCGACACCTTGTGACGCAAACTACTGTGTTTTTGTACAGTGATTAATCAGCTGAGAAGCGTATGGTGATGCATATTAGTTAAAATCTTTACCCGACATTCACCTGTAGTGTATTACTTTAAGTAAATGACAAAAAATTATCTAAACATTACAATTTAACACGTTTGAAACCAACACTTACAGCAATGAGCTAATGTTCAGCGTTTATGACGTTTAAAAGGTTATCAGAAATCTGGATGATAAAGCACAACTCATTCATTTGTATTCTAGTCAACAAATGTGCAGTTGATTAATTGACATAATGAACATTTCTGCACTTGTGAGTCAGTCGTGTTGTTGATATAGCGCGTCTGTGTTAGTGAAGCAGTGTGTGTGTGTGAGTGTGTGTGTGTGTCGTTCACCTGTCCGAGTGTGAGATGAAGCTCTGCAGCTCCTCAGAATCTGTTAAAGAGCAGAAATCTCTCTCCATAATGTTCCGCACGTCTTCATCTCTACGCAACCAACATGGCATCTGTTTGTTTACCAGCGCAGCGCCCCGCCCACTCAGCGCACGCACGCACGCGTCACGTACGCAGCGCTGATCAAGCCCCGCCCACTCGCAAAAACTACTGGGCATGCGCACATCAATACAGCGTAATTTTCGTCACACTGAACAACAATAATAACTGTATTCGCATTATTTTTTTTGCAACGTAGGCTCTACTTTCGAACAATAAACACGTAATTAAAGGCAATTATGACAAATATAAATCACGACAAATTAAATACTGAGACAAATGAATGGAATAAGGGTATAAGAGCAACATCGCACCAAAATGCATATTTTAATGCTGTTGAAAAAAAAAGGTGTTATTATATTCCTTTTTTTTTTTTTGGTTGGTTGGTTGTTATATCTCTCTTCTGTTAAAGGATGAAGGTATAGTGAAGTAGATAGATTTTTAGTAGATAGATAGTCGGCTTTGACGGTGTTTTATTTTTAATTAAATTATTATATTAAGCATCTCGAATAACAGCAACATCGCACCAAAATGCATATTTTAACGCTGTTGAAAAAAATGTGTTATTATATTTCTGTGAGTATTATGGTACTATAATATCAGTTTCCTGAGGGGATTCGGTCAGTTACTGACGTTACATCCGGGAGTCTGGCGTCCCTGGATACAGCAGCGCGGTCAGCGTAAACAAGCGAAGAACTCCTTCAAACAGAGAGAAGTTCGACGTGTGAGACTCTAATTTACTGTAATATATATATCCAGGCATGATTTATTGGAGATAGTAGGTCAGCACACGCTGTAAGTGCGTGTAAATGTGCTGTTGTGGCTGTTATGGAGGTTTCTGCGGGTGATGTGTGTCGTTCCGTGGAGCTCATCACAGCACGAGCGGTCAGTAATACACTTCATACTCATACTCATACACTCACACTCAAACAAGCTTCAGTCAGCGTGCTGTAATCATCTGTTGTTCAGGATCCAGAGGCTTCTCTTGAGGAGAGCTGCGGCGCGGAGAAGCTGCTCACTGATCAAGGTCTGACATCATCATCAAGTTTTTTTTTAAAATTATTTTATAATGTTCTCAGAGGTTCACTTATAATAGTAGTGTGATCTTATATCAAAACCCATCATAATTTAGACGTAGTAGGCTCTTTATTTTCTATAGAGACAGAGCGACCCGCGTCATAATCTGAAAACCACGCCCACCTGCCTCCTTGTCATTTCTGACTTATAACAAAAAGCAAAACAATATCTAAAAGCTGCTGTGCTAAAAAAAAAACCACATTAGTTCTTAAACTAATGCGAAAATTTTGAGTTCTGAAACTTCCAGGATGTTTTTATAGTATATTATTGACCTGTCATACATTTCATGACCCCTTTAATTATGAATCACATGATTAGCGAAAGTATGAAACATATAGAAACATGTAAGACTGTAAGTGACTGTTTCTTGTGTTTTGATCAGTTTTATTACACTATTAGTAGTATATGTAGTATTTATAGTAATAGTTTTGACATCATTCCCAGGATATGAATTTTTGATATTAACAATTACATTTTCACTAGCTAAATTGATAATTTTTTATACCAGGAATACAATTTTCAGTAGGTCAGGGTTTTGTTTTTTGTTTTTTTGCGTGTTTATTCAGCGTCAATATAGTCATTGTAAAAATGTGTAAAAATTGTAATTCTTGATATCTGTAATTGTGTGTGCATTAGTTCACTTGGCAATAATTTTACATAATTTGTGATATCAAAAATATATCAAGGAGTACCATTTCAACTATAAAACGATTAAGTTTTCAGTAGTTAAAATGCTACTTTATTGATGTTATAAATGCTATTTTTACTCATGGAAATGCTGATTGTTGATTTTAGGAATTACATTTGCACCAGTTAAACATTAATTCATGATATCAACAATTCATAATCATTTTAACTAGTGAAAACTGAATTGTTGATGTCAAAAATGCATATCCTGATTAAAAGTCAAAACGGCTTGCCATAATAATAGTACCGTAATACTCACAGGCATTATATTTGGACTGTATAGCTATATCATCGCCCATTTATATTATATATAAATTATATATATTGTTTTATACGTGCATATAATACACTCATGTTGAGATATACTGTATCTAAATCATCGCTCAGCTCTAATCTGATAAATGCGACTATAGGGCATGAAGATGTTAAGATATGATTTTCTGTAAAGCTGTTCTGGAGCGACGTGCATAATGAGACGCACTAAATAAACGTGACTTGACTTGAAACCACACAACAGAAGAGCGGGTTTGTGTCTCTGTGAGGGTCATCTTCTGCTGTGTTCCAGTGTCTGTGGACCGGATGGACATCACAAAGGGTTTTCTGGCTGATATTTCTCGCCCGGCCTCCAGTGAGATCAGAAGACCGGGTCGAGATGGTGGCAGATCTCTGGAGGTGCTCAGTCCTGACGTCACACACTCAGAGGTAGAGAAACTCCTTCATCTCTTCATCCGAGCGTCTGCAGACGGAGAGAACTAACGGCTGGCTGTCTCCTAAAGCAGGTTCACAGGTTCAGCGCACATGAGAGGACTGATCTAACCGCAGAAAACAGCTCGGATCAAGGTAAACATGAGCGGCTGGACAGAGAACAATAACTGGCTTCTCTTCTGAAAGAGCTGCTTTCATCTCAAGATTAACCCCTTAACTGTCACCCGCCATTTAAAAAAAAAAAATCCAAACTTAAATTGTTGTAATTTATGAACACTTTGGAATACAGATCTAACCTAAGATATTTTGTAACCCTAACCTAGCCCTAACCCTAAAGAAGAAAATCAGCAGATTATTGCAAAAGTGGATTTTTTTCAAAAAATCAAAGTATCAAAAAGTTATAGAAGTTTAAATTTACTGTAAATAAAATGCACTATATTAATTTTATTTATAATAAATATTTTACATAACAGGTTTTACTCTAAAATTGGTATAAAATTAAAGCCTTGTGTCTAATTAAGTTATGTTCCAAATTTGAAGTTGATATGAAAAAAATGTAGGTTCCTGTGAGATTTTATTTAGGGCGTTATACCACAAACAGCCACCGGGTGCCATCCAAACTTTTTTTAAATGCATTTTTCTGTCACAAATGTCTAGATTTCTCTGTCAATATTGCTATCTCAAAGTAATCACCAAATATGGAATCCTGAGACTCTTTCCAGTGATATGTTTTTTGTCAAGATTATAAAAAGGTTTGATTCTAAAAGACCGTAATGCATTTTGTAATATGACACTTGACACCGCCCACTAAGGGGGAGGAGACCGCCAAAATATTTTAAAATACTATTTCCATGGTAACACAATGTCCGATTTCAAAATGGGTTTCACAGGATGACTCTTGGGCTTCTAAGCTTTCAAATTATATACAATTTATGATGATTACTAAAACATTTGATAGAGAAAAAGGACAACAACTAAAAGAGCGCCAAGCGTCCCACAGGTGGCAGTTAAGGGGTTTTAAAGTATCATCTCTTTGATATTTTTCAGTTGAATGTATCTTCGTTAAAGTTTGAATAATTCTGTAGTGCATTTTTGTCATTTATGTTTTTATTTTGTAAATATGTCGACATAGTTCCTTTTTTTTTGTAGTTATTTTAGTTCAAGTCAGTGTCATTGAGATGCTATTATAGCTTTTGTTAATATTTTGAATTCGATTTTATTTGATCAAATATATAAATTAATTTAATTATATAAAATTTTAGTTAGTTTTTGTAACTTTGTTATTTAAATGTTTAGATATGTCTATATAGGTTTTATAACTTTTTTTTAAATTTTTTTATTATCAGTTTTTTATTTATTAATTATTATTTTTAGTTATTTTAGTACAAGTTAAACTAAATAAAAATGAGAAATGTTGCCTTATCAACTAGCTGGAATAATTTTCTAATTTCTCACATTAATATATCAGGTTTTGGACAAATGTTGCATCCCGTCACTAAATACCAACCAACACCAAAAAAACAACAACAAAAAAAAGCAAAATAATTAAATAAAATCGCCAAAGAGTACACTGTAAAAAAATATTTTTGAAGTTGTAAATAAAGCAAATATGATTAAATGTTTTATTAGAAAATACTAGGCCTATTTCATTCTTTCTACTTCAAAAGTTCAGGTTTAGTTCAGTGTTACATGTCGTTTCTTTGTAATCGTTTGTGAAATTTACTATAAAATTGGTATAAAATTAAAGCCTTATGTCTAAATAAGTTATGTTCCAAATTTGAAGTTGATATGAAAAAAATGTAGGTTCCTCTGTGAGATTTTATTTAGGGCGTTATACCACAAACAGCCACCGGGTGCCATCCAAACTTTTTTTAAATGCATTTTTCTGTCACAAATGTCTAGATTTCTCTGTCAATATTGCTATCTCAAAGTAATCACCAAATATGGAATCCTGAGACTCTTTCCAGTGATATGTTTTTTGTCAAGATTATAAAAAGGTTTGATTCTAAAAGACCGTAATGCATTTTGTAATATGACACTTGACACCGCCCACTAAGGGGGAGGAGACCGCCAAAATATTTTAAAATACTATTTCCATGGTAACACAATGTCCGATTTCAAAATGGGTTTCACAGGATGACTCTTGGGCTTCTAAGCTTTCAAATTATATACAATTTATGATGATTACTAAAACATTTGATAGAGAAAAAGGACAACAACTAAAAGAGCGCCAAGCGTCCCACAGTTGGCAGTTAAGGGGTTTTAAAGTATCATCTCTTTGATATTTTTCAGTTGAATGTATCTTCGTTAAAGTTTGAATAATTCTGTAGTGCATTTTTGTCATTTATGTTTTTATTTTGTAAATATGTCGACATAGTTCCTTTTTTTTTGTAGTTATTTTAGTTCAAGTCAGTGTCATTGAGATGCTATTATAGCTTTTGTTAATATTTTTAATTAGATTTTATTTGATCAAATATATAAATTAATTTAATTATATAAAATTTTAGTTAGTTTTTGTAACTTTATTATTTAAATGTTTAGATGTGTCTATATAGGTTTTATAACTTTTTTTTAAATTTTTTATTATCAGTTTTTAATTTATTAATTATTATTTTTAGTTATTTTAGTACAAGTTAAACTAAATAAAAATGAGAACTGTTGCCTTATCAACTAGCTGGAATAATTTTCTAATTTCTCACATTAATATATCAGGTTTTGGACAAATGTTGCATCCCGTCACTAAATACCAACCAACACCAAAAAAACAACAACAAAAAAAAGCAAAATAATTAAATAAAATCGCCAAAGAGTACACTGTAAAAAAATATTTTTGAAGTTGTAAATAAAGCAAATATGATTAAATGTTTTATTAGAAAATACTAGGCCTATTTCATTCTTTCTACTTCAAAAGTTCAGGTTTAGTTCAGTGTTACATGTCGTTTCTTTGTAATCGTTTGTGAAATTTACTAGCAATTTTAGAGTGAAAATAGTTTTTACACCAAATTTTTGAAAAATGAAACATAACCCATTTTTGCTGTTGAGAACATGGTGTCACTAAACCTGCATAAACTAGCTCAGACCAGCGCGGGTACGTCTTATGTCTGAGCTGGTCTTGAGTGCAGGGCATTTCTGATCTCCTAAGTGCTCTACTGATTATTTCACAGAAGAGTCCGATGAAGAAAATGAAGATCCGGAGTTGAGAGAAGCCATAAAGAAAATGAAGAGACTGGACCGGGTTCTGGCTCTCAAGGCGTCAGCGGAGAGAGAGGTGAAGCAGAGAGGAAAGCAGCAGCATCAGAGACTCTGGCAGGAGCTTCAGGTCCGTCTGTGCATCAAACACATCAGCGCTTCATACAGACGTCTGTGTGCTTTACTAACACTGACACACGTTACAGACCGCGAGTCTCAGCATGAGCAGCAACGAGATGGAGAACACCAGACGCTTTCTGGCACTGACACCCAACAACTGTGAGCCTATCAGACTTACATAAGATAATAATAATAATATGTGACCCTGCAGCACAAAAGCAGTGTTAAGTCGCTGGGGTATATTTGTAGCAATAGCCAACAATA